AAAATAAAATTAAATAAAAATCTGAGAAGCTGAAACATACTAAAGATTATATTATAGTACAATATTCCCTGTTAATCATTTCTGAAGGCATTTCACACACTTTAAAAAATATTCTATCACAAAGATTCGATGTTAGATATAAAAAGTTGTCTAATTAGCGCAGTTGTCGAATGTTTTAATTAGATAAAACGTTAGAAATAAAATTAATCAATAATTTAATACTTTACACGTTCACGTTAGATTTTAACTCGCCGAAGGACGGGAGGGGAATGAGATACGTTACTGCTAATCCTTCGTCCAACGTTCGGTTGTTTACGTTTTGTTTCGGCTGTCTTTCTTCTGTTTTCACCTCGAGAAATTCCTACAAATATAAATACACATTCATAATTGCCTGTAGGTTGAATGTTTTGTTTTTTTTATTCTCTCTCTCTCTCTCTTTTTCTCTACTCTCGTTCTCACTCTTTCTATATAGGTTAAAAAAAGAATAACGCTTACCTCGATGAATATGAAGATAAAAAAAAGTATACACAATTTTTTGACTGAGTATATGTATTCCTGCTGGACTCTCCAATGCTATCGAAACCTAAGAGAAGTAAAAAATACATTAGTACAATATATATCCTTAAAACAATTGAAATCATGTAACAACGCATGCCATCTGTAAAACAAAAAATTCGCGTAATCGATTTGCCTTATCGATTAAGTACCAAATTATTGCTCTAGTTAGTCTCTTGTTATTTTAATTCTTTAAGGATGGCTACAGTGCTTTATTTCAATTGTTTTAAAGATTTCTACAGCTACGTTTCTTTTTAATACGATCGTGTTTTTCTGTGCGGTGTTAGTGTATACACTCTTTATTTTATTCCTAATTTTTTAAATCTTATCAAAGAACGTGTGTACACCCCAAATAGGAAAATAAAATTGATTTTTAATTTAATTAATAAATAAATTATGTGTGTTTTTTTTGCGGTTTGATAAAGTTTTTATTCTCTGTCTTTATTCTACACATTATTTTTTTAAAATTAACAAGGATACCTTGATACTTTACTAATACAATCTTATGATTTGCATGTTTGCAACAATATTTAATAAAAGCATTTACAGAGAAGACAAAGACCCATTTCAACGGTACATTTTAAAGAGAACAGTGCATAGATCATATATCCCGAGCTTTTTAACAATAATAGACATTTTTATCGATTAATTACCACAATTATTTTAATATTTAAATACACTCTATTTTTATTTCAGATTGTTTAAACATATATGTACTAGTATAAGCATTACATACTTATTAACATACTTTAGATATTAAAAAATTTCGATGTGATATTCTTTTCGATAAAAATTTCCCCCTCCAAAGACACCACAGCATGGGAACGTTACAACAAATGTACATTAATTTAAACAATTACATAAAAATTAAAAGAATACAAAAATCAGAATGTTATAATCTTAAATTTTATGGATTAGGTGGATTATTCCTTTTTTACACATGAGCAACGTACGGAAAGTCATATAAACAACTTTCAATAAAAGTAATTACATAGAAGACAAAGGCTCATTTCAACGTTAGATTTCGAAGAGGACAGTGCATAGATCATAGTCACCGAGCTTTTTAACAACAATAGACATTTCTATCGATAATTTAACATTTATTTTAATAACCTAATACACTCTTCTTATATTTCAGTTTGTTTTAACACATATGTACTGGTCGAAATATTACATTACTTATTAACGTATTTTAAATAGAAAATAATGTTGACATATTTTTCTTTTATGT